CTGGCCTTTTGCCTTGACATTGTGATTACCATGTTGATACTTGCTTTTCCATAAAAGAACATGTGTTGCTGTCCTATTTCTTAAACAAACTGCTTATACATGCTTGAGTTTCTTTTTGCTTCTGATTATCACATGTGTCAAGCCTCTTTGTTCTGCTTGGAATCAAATCCTGTTGGAATACTTGTATGAAATTCTGTCAAGTTTCAGTTAGGATGCAATTTGGTTAGTGTACATGATGCTGTCTCAATTTTGGATGTTAATTTCTGCTTGGTCTGTAGGATAATCTTTTGATTTACAGCAATTTAACAGTAGGAAAGATATGTTGTTGGTGTTGGGATTTGGTTGAGCATGAGTTTGGCCTTTGGTTTCTGTTGAAATGGATGTATCTACCATGTATATGCCGATGTTTTATTGTGTTGAGATGCTGTTTTTGGTTTAAAAGGAGAATCATTAAGTTTTCTCATGTGGACCTCGATCTAAATGGATGCTGTTGCTGTTATCACCTGGAATAATTGTTTTGAATTCTGTTTTGACTTAACAAGAACCTTTTGAATATGTTTTGTTTCCATGATGAATGTGTTGTTTGAGCTTAACTGTACATGTGCTGTATTTTGTGTTTGACTTGTGATGTCAAATTCTGTTTGGCTTAAGGTGTAGAATTCTGTCAAGTGCAGTACCTGCTTAACTGTCAATATGTGACTGAAATCATGATTTGTTTGCAATATTGATGAGGTATGCAATGCTGTTTTGAATTTTGTTTTGGCCTTGGCTTAGAGGTACAAACTTGTTGTGGTTTTGTTGCCCTTGACTTGCAAATTTGATGATCACTGCTTGCTTTATTGAGAAGCTGTTTGTTTGTTCTTTGAATTAATCCAACTGTTGGATTCAAATCATGATTGAACCATGTTTTGCTCATGTTGCTGCTAATTCGTGCTGTTGGCATTTGTTTTGCTTTCCAATTGATAGTTTGCATTTCCATTCACATATTAATTTACAAGCATCGTGTGGAAGTGTGGGTAGTATATTTGTTCTCCTCATTTGAAAATAGTTGGAACAGATACCAGGAATGATCATTTTTGTATGGTCTTGATACATCTTCATCAGTTTTTGCACTAGCAATTGTGTTTGTTTATTTTTTTTTGCCCAGTGATATTCGTGGATTCGCTATGTATATTTCTTGTTTCCTTTCTAATCACCAGAAATGCCACTGTCCCAGTGGTAAAGCAAGCGTGTGTTGTGTCCTTTGTGTACGGTTCGAGTCCAGCGAGGGACCAAAACCATCTTTTTTTTATTTATTTTTTTTTTTCCTTTGTATCTCACTCTCATCCCTTTTATTCTTCTCCTCCCTTTCCCTATCACCACGCGCTTGTGCGCCCCGGTGGATAAGAATGCTGTTTGTGAACCAAAAGGAGGTGGGTTCAACTCCCACCTCTTGCTCTTTTTTTTTTATTTAAATTCATTTCTTTTTTTTGTTTTAACCATATAAATTTCAAAATATCACAACTTTGGCATACTTGATCTTTTTTAATCCGTTCTTCTTGTAATTTACTCATAATTTCAATTACTTTCATTTAATAAAGCAATATTTCAAGTCAATGTTTTTTTTAGACCTTTGATTTACTTAAAGATCAACCCTCTATTAGGATTTGTGCGCGCTGCATTTCGTAACGTTTCTCAAAATAACTGTTTCTTAGTATTGAATTAAAATAAGAGGATTGGGTGTAGTCCCCTTCTTCCTCGAGTGTTGAGACGCCCACTGTAGTGAGGGTGGTCTCGACACTCGTCTTTCAATACAAAGACGCCTTCCATCCACTTTCTCTCCTAAAAAACCTCGGCTCCGTGCCGAGTACATTTTCAAAACCTCGGTTTCGTACCGAGTTCATTTTCAAACCGCCTTTTAAATAAATTATTAATTTCTTCGTATTGAATTAAAAAGAGGGGATTAAGTGTAGTCTTCTTCCTCTCCGAGTGTTGGGATGCCCACTGTAGTGAGGGTGGTCTCGATACTCGTCTTTCAATATGAAGACGCGACTTCATTCCACCACCTCCTTTCACAACTTTATTCCGCAACCTTTCACACCTAAAACCTCGGTCTCACACCGAGTGCATTTTCAAACTCGTTTTTATAACAAAACTTGACTGGTCGTGGAGTGGTTAGGCGTAGGCCTTCTTCTATCCCGAGTGCTGACGTTTACCGTAGGGTTCTCTGTCGCTAAAGCACTTACCATTTAAAACCAAAAATACCTTTAATAAGAGAATGAATTTCTCTTCGCATTGAATTAAAGAGAGTGGATTGGGCGTAGACCTCTTCTTCTCCGAGCGTTGGGATGCCCACTGTAGTGAGGGTGGTTTCGACGCTCGTCTTTCAATACGAAGACGCCTCGTTCGCCACACCTTTTTATAATAAAAACTTTGAGATAACGAATTGGGTACTACCTGTAGGGGTTACTATCCGAGGACATGTCTCGCCCCTAAAAAACAATCCAATCAACCAAACGTGACTTCTTGCCTCGCGTGGCGAAAACTAATCAATCTTTCAAAAAGGATATGTTACGTCTGTTCTACCGCAAACAGGTAACGCCTAAGTCTCCAACGAGCGAGCAGCAATGCACCTAACTGCTAGAATGCGCACGATAGCATCATCCATAAAAAACATCAACACACCGTAGGCCGAACTACGGCTGCTCTGATTTCTCATACCAGATGAGAATACGTAGGCACAAGACGGCGATGTCTTGGCGAGCACATTCTCCCCATATCTGTAGTTCCCCGAACTACGTCGACTCTGACTTTCTCACATCTATTGAGAATACGTAGGCATAGGACTGCAAAGTCCTACCGAGTCTGTTCTTTCTCTCTTATTCCCCGTTACCTCTCTTTCCCTGTTTCTAACCCTTTACCTCTCTCCCTTTGGAACACACTTCTTATAGCATGATATTTAAGCAAATAAATTCACACATCGACAAACAAAAGGTTCCCATCGAGTACGATGGATGCGAGGGGTGCTAATACCTTCCCCTCGCATAACCGGCTTCCGAACCCATTCTTGGTTGCGAGACCATCTTATCCATTTCTTTCTTAAGGTTTTCTCGATATTTTCCTTTCCCCTCATGGGATAAATAAAGTTCGGTGACGACTCTTCTGTCCTTTTCTTTTCGCCTCCCCGTCGTTGCGCGATGCATTTTTCGAGTAGCGACAACACCCTTTGAACAACCCTATGGTCTTCAAATCTTGCCCGCCTGATTTCAATCACCAACGCTTCGAACCCAAATCTTCCTCTCACAATCCTTCGGTTACCGCTATTAAACCGACATAACCTCCCGTTCTTTGATTACCTTCGCTCGGCTGAATCTGTGATGGACCAATTTGTGCAAAAACCCCCCACAATCTAAGATTCTTAGAGGACAAAACCCTAACGGTTTTATTCAAGAAAAATCCACTGATTTCCCAACCCAAACCTGATTAAACCAATCCTATGTTTGGACGTTATCACCTCAATAATGCAAAATGCACAACAAAAATGATTATGTGTAGTTGTTGAGAAAATGTAAGAACGTGGATGAAGATGATGAGAACAAAATCAGTGTATATTTTTAATTTTCTTGTTATTGTTTTTTTTTTAAAAATAAGGCAACTCAATATATATGCAAGTGTAAAACCAATTAACCAACTTAACAAACACTTTGACAGTTTCACATAACAGAATTTTGGTGAAAAACATGCGAGCGGTCGACCTAAAGAAAGGGGAGGGTCGACCTGAGCTCTCCCGATTTTCAGATTATGCAGAAAACAACACTTCACGTCGACCGAAACAGGTCATGCGTCGACGCAAAGGATGCAAATTTAGACAGACAGAAATGAACACGGTATGAGTCGACCATAGGGTCGACGCGAGCACTCCTGAGAGTAATCCATGAAAAATGACTTTTGTATGAGTCGACCTGAGTAGTCTATGAGTCGACTCAAAGACTCAGAATATGCAAAAATGTATTTTTCCATGTATTTAGCTACTTTTAAGATACTCCAACATATCTCAAGTTAGACCAACATGATCAAACTTATATGGAACACATATTGTACTTTTTCTATATGTACCTAAACATGTTTTTGACCAATGTTTGACGCAAGAGAAATAGGGTATGCATATGCGACATGATAATACCGTCCAAAGTACATTCTTCTACCTATGTAAGTTTTGACATCATTGAAACAAGTATAGTTAAGTATGAGGGACCTTACCCTCACAAGATAAAAAACATGTTGAGCGCTAAACAACACACGCATCTGAATCATCCACTGATTCCAGTTCTTCCCATCGAACACTGGAAGCTTGATACTTAGATTACTATTTCCGTTCATCTTCAATTTTGTACAATCACTCAGATCTCACCAAACACTAGTGTTTCACAATCCCGCAAAATCAAGAAATGTGATTCTGTTACGATTAAGATCAAGAAATTCAACAAGAATTCAAGAAACAAAATTAATCACACAACGCCACACCGTTCACTCGTTTTCCCTGTGTTTTCCTGTGGACCTGAATCAGAGCTCTAGATACCAATTGTTGGTGCACGAGGTGAAAAAAATGAAGATGGAGAAAGAGAAAGGAGAGAATAACAAATTCTAACAAATGTTCACTACAATTCCACTAACGGTTACACAAAGAATAGTTGCACCACTACTATATGGTACAACACATTTCTATTGCATACCTTAATGACTAAGCACATTACTATTTATATACACAAACAATAATGTCATGTAATACTGAATTACCCTTTAACACCGTTGAGTCTTCCCTATCTTATGAATTGATTGCAAAATGTTTCAATTTGACTCTTTGTATTGATCTTCCAATTAATGAAAGGAAGATTATAGATATATTTTGCAAAAGTTGGTCTAAATGTGAACTAGTCTACACCAAACCAAGTTTCTAGTACATAACATCTTAAAAGAACTGATTCTTTTATGTCCCATTTTGTCATATTAATAGAGAAGAATCATACCCTATACTTGATAGGCTTTAGTGTTGCTTCTCTTTCGGCATGATTGCTACCAGATTTTCTAGCATTCACCACTCTCTCAACCATCTTACTTCCTTTAAAATGTGATCTGTTTTCATTAGTCGCCGCACCTAGAGTAAATGTTTCTTTTTGTGTCTTAACATTCTTTTGCGTTCTGTCAAATTGATTGAAACCATACTTTGACATGCTTGGCGATGGTGACCTTGACGGTCTACATGCCTTTGGAGAAGGATCTTGATTTTGAAACCCTCCAACTAAAGATCCTCTTGTAGTGCTTCTTCCTCTTGTAGTTTTTGGAGTAGTATCATGATTTTGAGACGCTCCGACTAAAGATCCTCTTGTAGTGCTTCTTCCTCTTGTATTTGAAGTTGATCTTTTATCTGTCCTCAAATTTTGCGGTGTCTCGTTCGAGAGTTCTATCACAATATTTGAACCTTTGAGTTTCAATGATGGAGACGCACCTCTAGTTCTAGGTTTCGTTTGGGGTTCATTTGCTTCAACATTGTTGATTTGTTTTTGAGGATTAGGATATTTAGTGTTGTTTGTAGTAGCATCATGTTCTTTTTTGGTGGTAGCATCATTTGTATTTTTAATCAAGTTTGGTCTCTGTCTGTTATAACTTGGTGTTATTGATCTCATGGGAAGCTTTGATGATTTAGCTGTGTTGGTTTGATTTGCCTTTGGTTTTAGTGGCTCCACATCACTCTTTGCAAACTGTGCCTGCGGTAAGAAATCAACCCTTTTGTATCAAATCTAAATTAATACATCAAGCATAACTTTAAATTGCGGCTGAATATTGGTATTGCAGTAGCTTTTGCATGGATATAAGACGGCAAATGCAGTGTGAATTTTTTCTTTTTAAAAACTAGGTATCCCACGATGCGATCTATTAATTTAAGTTATAGTATATAGTCTTATATGATCTGATTCACCATAAAAATTATTTGCACTTAAGAGAATTTAAATGTAAAACTTTGAGAGGAGCACACTCTCAAGTCTAAAGTCTTCATCAATACTTTGGATCAAAATGATGTGTAAGAGTGTATAAAAATCGATTTATCTATGTTCGTTTAGGTTTTCTAACAAAAAAAATTAAAATTTTAAAACCACAAATCTGAATCATTTTTAAATGAATATATTTTTTTTAATTTAACGGTTCTTCAACCGTAGATAACACCTCTTAAATTGTGTATTCATGTTTCAATAGTAGCAACTACAATAATAGTAATTGCAAGGATTGTATCTGCGACCGCGCAACTGTAATTTAAAATCATGATTACAAGTTCATATTATTCTATGCAGATCATGTAAGAGTTCAACCACTTACTTTTGAGATAAGGTGAGCAATAGGTAGCTCTTTCTGAACGACGAGTTTGGCACTAGGTTCCATTTCTAGAGATGGAAACAGAGGAGTTGCTGGTGGTGTTTTCAACCTGTTTGGCACATGCAAATGCAATGTTTACGTTATATAGAATTTATTTAATAAAAAGATTTTTGTATATGTATTTACGAAACTCACCAATCAAAGTCGCTTTTGTTTTTTGTTTCAAGAAACTCAAGTCTAGATTCTTTCTTCCCTGATGGAATTCTATAAAGTGAAAACTTTCCTTCAATGATACCATTAGCACCATAGTTAGTGTCACATTCATACTCTTCAGAAGCACAGAGGCTTGGGAAATATTCATTCTGACGTTTCTTCAGTTCCCTGAAAAACGATAATTCTTCTTCTCTATCACATTCGAATCGGTCAAAACGCCCTTTCATGTTGTTCTGCACCATCACTCTAATCACCGATTCTCTATGCTTATATACAAATATATATAGTTAAAAATTAAATATTAAAAAAAATAATGGTTATGTATTATTTCTTTTGTTCTCCAATTCCATAGCACCGTATTTACTCTAGTTTATAGATTCTGTTTCTTGTGTTCGAATGATGCATGGTGTCGCATAAGACAAGAAATTTAACTGGTTTTTTTATGTTAGAAGATAGATTAGTGACATGTGGAGGTTTAGCCGGCTATTTAATTTGTTTATTTCGTGTTTCTTTGTGATGCAATGCATTCTCTATGAAATGAAACGCGTGATTGTGTTGACCATTGCAATTTGGTCCAATCGATAAGGTCTTGATGCATGAGTTTTGATCCCGTATCCCGCGTAAAGACGGCCGGAGGTTGAGTTTTATAGCAAATTAAAAGAAATTTTGCTGCTAAATGGCGTGTTTATTAAAGTGTTGATATATAATTGCGCTTCACATTTTAGGTATATTTAATATTTGTTATATTCAAAGATTCGAAAATTTTTGTTCTGCATCGGATACCTGCACCACCGCGTCAAGAAACCATGTTATTAATTCATCACTAGTTTTGGTTTTTGAAAAGAACAATGACATCGTCAGAGAGAATTTGAATTTAAATTTCTGCAAATTTCCACGATCAAAATCTTTTGATCCAAAGTCTTGGTTTATATAGCAATCACGCCAAGATAGAAGAACTAAATGCAGATCTCGTTTCTAAAGGCATCTTAGAATCATATAATTTGGAATTATCTTAGATCTTCGTCGTAGATATGATCGACGAATAACTACCTCAAAAATCTCTCAAGTTAATGCAAATCTAGAAGCAAGAGAAAGACAGACTGATCTTAGGATTTCAAAATCACAAGAAGGTAGACGGAATCTGTAACACCGAGGCCGAAGAGGGCGGGGAATGTTAGTAACACCCAAGATCGAAGAGGACAGGAAGTGCTCGCTCGAATTAACATGAAGTGAAAGGATCTCGAGGTTGTGCAGGTATGAGACTGCATGGTTGAAAGAAAACTTATAAGAATTGATTTTTACTATCTGTACTATCAAGATGCATCTTCTTTTCGGTAGCCTAACAAATAAGAACTCCATAGTTAAGCGTGCTTGACTTGGAGTAGTATTTGGATGAGTGACCTTTTGGAAAGTTTCCCGAAAAGCATGTGAGTGAGGACAAAACATACTAAAAAGACATGTGTTGCTTTGTGGGATTAGTCGATAATCCTTAAAGTAGTATGAAGCGTTACAAATGGTATCAGAGCAAATCTCTTCCAATACGATGTGGTTTGAGGACAAACCAAGCTGAATCTGGTGGGCATTTAACACTCGAAGCCGAAGAGGGCGGGGAGTGGTTGTAACACCTAGGGCCAAACAAGGCGGAGAGTGGTCGCCTGAAATTCACATCGGAATGAGAGGATCCTGTGGGTGTGCATGTATCAGACTGCATGACTGGTGCTACCTATACCAACAAGATGCTTCTTCTTTTCGGTATCCTAACAAATAAGAACTCCATAATTAAGTGTGATTGACTTGGAGTAGTATTTGAATGAGTGACCTTCTGGAAATTTTCTCAAGAAGCGTGTGAGTGAGGACAAAGCATATAATAAAGACTCGTGTTGGTTCACGTGGTCACTCGATAATCCTGAAAGCAATATGGGGCATTACATAATCCCTAATGTGACTCTTTCACTAGTAACTACTACGCTACCAAATCACTTCATGTTAGGGATCATCATTAACAAATGAAGCTCATGTGATTTGATAAACCTAAAAATCCTCATTAATCTAGGCTTAAGCAAGCTAGATCTGAAACCTTGTGAAGGCAAAAGTCCCCTAATGTTCGATGATTCCTCTACTTGTCCATGTGGATGTATAAACATATCGTTTTCCTTTGTAGTGGGGAAAACAAGAGAACAATGGATGTTTACTTCTTTGTGGTCCCTTGCGAAAGTGTATACAATGGGATTCTTGGAAGGTTATTCTTAGTGACATTAGACAACATAGCTTCCACCGGTTACTTGAAGATGAAATACTACAATAATTCGAGAAAGTTAGTTGTAATTGTAGGAAACCTACATGGAGCACATCTCATGCAAGAGGAAATAATGAAAAATCCTCTAGCAACTGTCGTCACTTTTGAGAAAAGGAGAAATAAAGTAGGTGGAACAATTAACGTAACCGACCTCAATGTACGGGAAGATGAAATTCTATAATGCAATGAGTTGGATCCGCCTACCGGGACCAAGAATAAAACCTTAAGACCCGTTTTGGATGGTTAGTTTGAAGCCGTCCATCTTGACAATAATGCGACTTGGTAGGTTAAAATATGTGTTGACCTACCCGTAGAGGTTAACACGGGTTGGGTTGGACTAGGTTCGGCCTAACCTATTATCCTACCTGTTGCGATGAGAATCAAATGTCAAGCTATTGATTAACTTGAATCTTAATTCATTAAATTCACAATCGTAAATTGATTTATCCAAAAGAAGTTAAAGAAAGAAAGACCTTTTACACAATGTAACAACAATGCTAAGAGATTCGGGGATCGGGGATTGGTTATGCTTAGGGTAGGTATTTCACATCCTAAACATCTGTAGTACTCTACAGAAACCTTTTGTATGTTTGTATGCTATACTACTTGCTATGGTTTGGGATCAAGGTTGGGGTTTTGAGGTAAAGACAAAGGGTTGATGTTTCTAAGTTTGCTCACAAAGATACCGCATCTTCTTCCTACATATCCTAACTAGGATAGAATCAGAGCAATCATAGTTCACCTTGTAACAACCCAAATTTCATTAGTTAATTAATTATGTTAATTAATTGATTTATTGGAATTAATCTTAATGATTTGGATTAAATGGATTTATTTGGTAGATAATTGAAGAGAGAAATGGGAAGGAAAGAAATAATAGAAGTATATAAGGGATAAGTGGAAGGAATTGGATAGAAAGAAAATAGAAGAGAAAGAATAGAGAAAGAGGAGAAAAGAGAAGAGAAGAGGGAAACTTGGAGAAATCATCAAGAATCAACTTCAAGCTTCAATCCAATCAAGGTAAGGGTGAGAAACATTATTATTTGATCAATGTGTATGATTATGTATGAGTTGTGTTGGATTTGTTGGTAGTTTTCTCTATTTTCCATTTCTAGGGCAAATGAGTTAAATCGATAGAAACCGAGTTTTAGCGGATGAAACTTGAAATAAATTACGTATTTTAGTCGGGTAGTGTTTAGCCGAGAGTATTGAGTTTCGTTTGAGTGAATTCGATCGAGTTTATGAGTTTTGCCATTTTTGGAGAAATTGGAGGTTAAGATTTTGGGTGAAATTCGAAAGTCGTAGAATTAGTGTTTTATGATCCTAAATTATCCCTATATGAGTGGTGATGATGAGTAAGTATTTAATCGGGTAAAAACTATTTAATCGAGCGACTTTTTGGGGGCTTTTAAGCCCGAAACCGTAGCTGTTTTTCTGAGTTTTTCAGGTGTTAATCGGTTAACCATATACGTTAACCGATTAACACAGTGTTGGGGGCCTAAAAACTGAGTTTTTGGGCTGAAAACTGAGTTTTTGGAGTGGTTAATCGGTTAACCATATGCGTTAACCGATTAACACTGTAAGTGTGAGAAAATATTATTTTCAAAATTTCGAAAATTCATAACTTCTTCACCGTTTATCGGATTTTGACGTTCTTTATATCAAACTGAAGCTAATCATATGTTCTATAACTTGGTGAAAAGAAATATTATTTTTAGCCGACTTTTAGCGGATTTTACCGATTAATCGAGATTAATTGTTTTAAGTAAGTGAGGCTTAAATAGTTAGAGAGTTCGGTTGTGATCGGCCTCTTCTTGTATGAGTAGCTTATATGTTGTTGTATGGTATGCTATGGGTAGCCGTATGGCGTGAATCCTAGATTGTGGAATTGATTATGAAATGTGATCTTTTGACAAACTTGTGCATTGTTTAAATTAATTAAAATCCATGACGAATGTGATGAATGTGATTGAGTTTGTTGCCATTGGCATGATATTGTGAATGCATATTGATTGTATGCTAATGTATATGAATGATGCATGGGAACATATTGTGAATATGTGTGCATTGCTTGTGATTGTATATGAATGATGCATAGGAACATATTGTGAATATGTGTGCATTACTGGTGATTGTATATGAATGATGCATGGGAACATATTGTGAATATGTGTGCATTGCTTGTGATTGTATGTGAATATGTGTGCATTGCTTGTGATTGTATGTGAACAATGCATGGGAACATATTGTGAATATGTGTGCATTGCTTGATAAATGTATTGATGGTATTAAAATATGAATATGTTGTGTGTGCAATCATGTTATAATTCATGAGGGATGAATTATTTGAATGCATGGGATTAAGACGCGGGAACGGTCTTAAGTGAATTTTGTTGGTTGATTGCATATGCATCATTTAGTCAAGAGGCAATGTTTGCTAGTTTCGTGGAGACTAGTGGCTTGTCCCAAACCTAGAAGGGTGGGTTTGAAAACCTAGGGGACGGACTTTGTTGTTATCGGTCTAGAAGGGTGGACCCGGTTTAAGTGTAAAAATCGAAAAATGATAACTATTGGTACCACATGGCATGAGTTGCATTGAGTTGCATTGAGTCTCATGGAATGAATATATGGTTGTTGTATGAGGTTATGTATAGGTGTATGTACATGACTTGTGTAATTGAGAATTATGGATATGTTTGACGATTGTCCATATTTGCCTATATATATATATATATATATATATATATATATATATATATATATATATATATATATATATATATATATATATATATATATATATATATATATATATATATATATATATATATATATATATATATATATATATATATATATATATATATATATATATATATATATATATATATATATATATATATATATATATATATATATATATATATATGCTTTGTGAAGTATATG